ATCTGTATCTTTTTCCCCATGGGAGATGTTAGACGGGATAGCCAGGAGGCAAACAGAACCAACGTCTTTTTTAATTACAAAGGAATTTTACAAAATAATAGCTACATTATTTAACTAAAGTGAAATACTAATTTTATGGGAACACTTCTTACACAGATTTTAATGTATATGATCTTGATCTTGTATTTCGAAAAAATATTCATCGGTATAGATCGAATAACTATTACTGTAGTTTAACTTTTGTAAAATTGCTTTTATTTAACTTTATTTACTTTTTTATTTACCATTACTTTTCTTGTTAAGCGTTTGCTAATGTAAAGATTTAGTGGGTCTTTTTACCCCACCCATATGTAAGCTTTTATAGAGGTTGTATGAAAAAACGGATGAATTTAGCTTGAACTTAAAAATAACAATAAATCTTACAAAAAAACTATATAACTTTTAAATAAAAAAATTTGTACAATTTGCTTGTTTTTGAGATAATGATTTTAACCGCGGACTTTTCTACCATATTTCTAATTAATATATTTGCAGAAGATATAAAACTTAGACAGAAATGTTAATCTAGAACTCCTTGTCACCGTTGCATCCATTTTACTCCCGCCTCCGCTTTTTTGTTACTGGGCGTAGAAAATCTATAGATAGTCCTTTTAAATATATCTAAAAATGCTAAATTGAGGCATAACTAGTGCACCTGTCTTTGATAAAAATTAAAATAAGTGGGTCAGTTGATAAAGCGAGAAGGGGAAATGAGTGTTGCATCATAATTACTGATATCTTATCAGCGCGATCGGTAATGTAATTATCATATTGCTAATTTCTTTGCCAGCTTTCAAATACATTTATTTATTGTTGATTAAAGATAAATAAGTTACACTTGTGTTTACTAATCATTTTTTATTTGAATTTCTTCGTGAGTAGTTACATACCGCACGTTTAAGATTAGTCACGATATTAATGGATACTTACTATCCGCGGGTATTTGCAGATTTTTTTAAAAATTAAAACTATTTTTAAATGATGGAATTTGATCAAATCGCATTGAATTATTCAATGTTCAATATAAGCAATTTCAATTTTTATTCAACTTTTTTCTTTGCACAATTATTTTTCTTTTAACTTTTGTCAGATAATGTGTTATGTGACATTCGGGAAGTTTAAAATTTTTGGAAAATTTTGGAAGTTTGGACTTATTGATTTTTTTTATTTAGTATGTCACTTTTACCGTTTTTTGGATGACTCAAATGAGTCGATCCATTTTCTCAGTAAGTAAGCAAACATAAGATGAAGTTGCTTAAATCGTATCCCTATGGTAAATAACTCGTGCAGTTATAGTATTTAGTGCAGATGGAATAAAACAAAATCTTTGCCATTTACTGAATCTTTATTTAGTTGGTTTATGATTAACAGTTACGTGAATTTGTTTTCTTAAATTTTAATAGAAATTTTTATTTTTTTAGAAATGTACTTGTATTTGCGTTACGTAGTTATAAAATTTATTAAAACTCTCCTTCGATTAACTCAGGTTGTTGGGTTATAATTTAAGCTGTAGACTGTATTAAACGCTGATTTGTTTGTATATTATGTATTTGTTGCAGTTCTTATTGCAATCACTGATTTGTCACTAAGTAATTATGGAAGAAGATATATTTATTATTTACTACACATGTTGTTTCGCGGACTTTACTTTTAGAAGTGTACAATTAGTTCCATTAAACTCTCCGTCAGAGCTAGCAACCAACCCGTGTAAAACTCAATGCCATGAAGATTGTCACCTTCATGGCCTATATAATGATTAAGGCGTTTAGTCGACTTAGTCGTACATAACATACTACTAAAAAACTATATAGAATTGAGTCCAAGATCAACTTTTCCTAACTCTCAACTAAATTAAGCTTACAAAATAATTTTATTTAATGGTAATTTTCTAAATATAAGGACAAAATATTGACAAATTAAATTTTTATTTAATGGTTATTTTCTAAATATAAAGGGTACGCTTTAATCAACCTTACTTTACATATATTGCATTGTAGATTGCGTTTGGATGTTAATATTAACTTTGAATACGAATAAATTTTCAAACTTATTTTCTGTTTGTAATTTCGTTTGTGTAACGAAATAGCAAAAATAATACATATTATACTATTAGATGAAATACGACAATATAAAATTTTTCGCTTCTACTATGTCATCATTCATAAATAAGAAACATTTTTTCATGGAATTGAAGAATAGAGACAAAATATATTTTAGAATTTCAATATTACGGAAGTGTCATAAAGTCTGAGAATACACTAATTTTATTAATATTTTCATTATTTTATTTAAGATAATAAACTAGCAATTTGATGAAAATATTACACATTACCAGAATCCTTGTAAACATATTTATCAAACATATTCAGCAGATATAATAGTTAAGATAGTTTTTGATAGTATAATTAATCGAAATTTATATATTTATAAATATGATATTTTTGCATGTAAGTTTTGAAAAAGTGTATAAGTATTATACTATTAATATATAAATATCATATATGCAATATCCAAGTCTTACCAAACATACGTTTATTTTTTTATACGTTTATTTTATATATAAATAAAATGATATCATATATAGCTTTTCACGCTAGTAGATAATTGAAGTCCATGATATTTGACATGAAGCCATAAAATGCTAATTTCACGTCTTAAGAATAAAAAAAAATCATGTTTTATTGTTACAAAATTTCTTCATTATTGAAATGTATATGTTTCTAATTAACTTAAACGAAGTCGTCAGTCAGAGGCGCCAATTGTCTTGTTTTATCTTCATAAGAATATCATAAAAAAATATAAAGAATTCAATAAATTTTATTTGCAGTTTGTTTTCATGGTTATTGAAACATCTTGTAAGGTTTTTCAAATAGTAGTTACATTTTTGTGTCGAACATGAGCGAATATTTAGTTTGGTAGTTTGGTAAAAACAAAAAAAATATTATTTTATAAGTAGGGGAGTTAGGGGCTTGTTGTAACAGCGAAAATAAAATTTTTCATATAACTTTACGTTTCAGAGGTTTCTAAACATTTGGCATACTTTATAATTAGATAAAATGGATGTATATGTGTGTGTGTATATGTGAGCGGATACAAATTTTTGTCGACGATTTCGCGAACACGGATCAACCGATTTGAATAATTCAAAAAACATTCGATTCATATTTATAAAGAGACGTCCTGATTAGTTTTTGGTAAAGGCAGGTCTAGCCGTTTCAGAGATACGGGGTAAAAAGTGCAAAAATGGTATTTTAATTTTTGAGACAACGGAGCGTCCGATTTAAATAATTCAAAAAACATTTTACTTGTATTGACAAAATGAACAACTGCTAAAACTTTTGTAAAGGCAGATCCAGTGACTCAGGAGATCCAATAAAAAAAGTAAAAAATAATGTCATTTGACGGTCAAAAATGAACATTAGACTTATGTGCATTGTGTTATCAGATATTTTATAAAAATTTTAATAACAAGTACAAATTTTGTGTACATTTATAAGAGTTATACGTATATCAATGTTTCTAACACTTACATGTTAGAAGACTACGCGGCGCTTACGCGCTTTGATATTTCGAATTCACATCAGTTATGCAGCGCGATTGCTTAAAAAAATGTTAAAAATTTTCAAAAAATTCATAATACAAATTTCAAAATTTCATTCATAATAACAAAAATTTCTAAATTTCTTAGAAATCTATTTTTTTCAAAGTTTGCAAATTATTTAATTTTTTTTTAACAATTTAGTTTTTGCTACGGGAAGTTCCAGCAATTTGCCTTAAGACACGATTCCATGCACCACGTTAGTTATCAAAGGTATATTAGTGGTATATCACGGTTATTAACTTCCCGTAGGGCAAGTTATAGTAATCGCAAAAAAATCGAAAATGAAAATTTTTATATATCTTTACGTTTCAGAGGTTTCTGAATATTTTGGCATACCTTAGAAAAAATGGATGTATGTGTGTGTGTGTGTGTGTGTGTGTGTGTGTGTGTGTGTGTGTGTGTGTATGTATGTGCGAATACAAATTTTCGTCGACGATTTCGGGAACACGGATCAACCGATTTGAATAATTCAAAAAACATTCGATTTGTACTGATAAGGAGACGTGCTGATTAGTTTTTGGCGAAGGCAGGTTTAGCCGTTCCGAAGATACGGGGCAAAAAGTGCCAAAAACGGTACCTCCGTTTTTAAGAGAACGGAGCGTCCGATTTGAATAATTCAAAAAACATTTTGCTTGTATTGTATGGGTTCCGTACTAATGCTTATGCGTTAGACGGCGGCTCGGCACTTGCGAGCTTTGACATTTCGTCTCTATGCAGTTCAAGCAGTGCGATTGCTTTGAAAAAAAGTTCAGAATTTCCAAAATATGTCAAAATGAAGAAAACATTTTTTTTCAAAAATTTTTTGTGTTTTCAAAAAAAAATTTTTTTTTCTCAAAAAAAAATTTTTTTTTTTCGAATAAAATTTTTTTTTTCCAAAGAAAGTTATTTTTTTGTCAAATTTATAGTTTCTCAAAAATCTATTTTTTTTAAGTAAATTTTTTTCAAAATGTTAATCGTTTTTAAAAAATAATAATTTTTGGTACGGGAAGTTCTAGCATTTGCCTTAAGGCACGATGCCCTAATTGCCTTAAGACAGAATTCCACTTACAGCTAGTTTACTTTTAGGTGCCACTACATAATAAGTCGTTTATAAAATATTTATATCTTCTTAATGAAAATATTAAATTGCTTACTTGTTTGATTAGTACTAAATGTATATATTATTAGTTTACTAAATGAAATATAATTAAAAAGTTGATCAATTAAAATATAAGTAATGAATATCGCTGGGTCGGATCTAATTCATCGGACTTTTGATTCCTACAATTTTTGATCCATTAATTGAAGCCAAATAAAAAGTAAATAACTGGTAATCAATAAATAAATATTCATCTGAATTATCACTAAGGTGTTAATGTAGATAGGTCATGTGACAGCATTCTTTTTAATAGGTCAGGATTGTGGATGATGTAATATATTTTATGCAATATATTTGAGAAGTACTCATATTGCGATTGTCATGAATTTTGTCAGTTTTAAGGTCCATTATTATACTCAATGTTATATTAACAGACTTCTCTTGAAGTATCTTGACAAATATTACTTTGAAGCGCTCAAAGTCAGCATTAAATTACTTGCTAATGAATTGTGTTCATTATTTGATTAAACGGCTATGAAAGGCTAATCAATTGATGTTTAATTATCACGTTAACACATTAATATATATTTGGAATGTTTTGTCAATCGTGAATTGAAAATATGAAGTTTATACATAATTACTAGGTAGGCTGTATAGTAGGGTATATTACATCAAGGTTCTATCAAAAATATATCGAATTCAGGCTTATTATCATTATTATTTTTTTTTTAAATTCCAATATTTGTTACAACTACTAAATAATATAACATCTAGTAATATAAGTGAATAGTAACATAAATATAAATAAAATATAGTACAAAATAAAGGATAGTAACTCAGGTTTACGAAAAACGAAAATTTGCTTTTTTTGATATTTATTCAACCATATGTGGTAGAGCGGGGCGTAAGGATTTAATTTTACTTTAAGCAATCATATTGTGAAAACTAAACCATTTGTATCTCAACAAAATACATATCAAACAAACAACTATCTGGCTATGTTCATTAAAACTCCCAGCTAATTCATCATTGTAGAAATGTGTTTTTTTTTGCTGTTTTCCAAATTTTGTCTTTTCAACCCGATAGACGGGGTAAAATGGGACGCCAGGGGGGAAAGAGGTCAAATGTCTTATTTTTAATTTTAAAGGGATTTATCGAAAGACTAGCAACATTATTCAAGCAATGGTAAATATAAATTTCATAGGTACCTACTTTTTTATAAGGACAACACAGTATATAACCGTGATAATTCGTCAGATATATCAGCAGAGTTGGAATAACTATTTATTTAATTTATCTCTTGTGAAATTGCTTTTTTTTTAACTTAATTTACTTCAATTCACTATTTTATTGTTTACACATTTGCCAGGGTAATGGTTCAGTTGGTCTTTTTTACCCCATAGAGGTTATATAAAAAGAACTATAGGATCTAACTTAAAATTAACAATACATCTTATAAAATAATTAAATAACGTATACTTAAAAAATAAAATAATTTTATTTTTATTTAATAACTTAAAAAACTATCAACGAAATAAAATACCTGTTGTGGATTTTTAAACATTTTTGTTTATCTCTCTTTAAGAATCAAGGTGGTTGATGGTTATACATATTTTTCCTCTACTTTTAAATATTATTAATCAAAAATTCTGAACTTTACTTGTTTTTGAAATATAGGTGGTGGACCTTTTTACTCGTGGACCTTATAATATAATATATATATATATATATATATATATATATATATATATAAGTACACTCAGGGGGCGTTCATTAATCACGTGTTCGATTACCTCACCTTCCCTTTGGTGATACGTGGTGATATTCAAAATTACCCCCATTTCCCACCAAACATCACGTGTATTTTTAGTTACGAGATTTTTTTTTTTTAAATACTTGGATTTTTTTAAATGCATTAGGTAAAAAATAAATACACGTAATACCTCCCTCTCCCACGTGATCTTTTGTGATTTTTTTTGTCAAAACCATAAAAACCTCACGTGATTAATGGGCGCTCCTTTATATAAATATTGTTTTTTAATATTTTTCTGATTTATTTGATTCAGGGGTTTGGGATATTCCCTTCTTGGAAAACTTGCAATCCAAAAACTTCCCTAATTCAAACACAACCAAAATCCAATCGCGTGATTCTCGTCAAAAAAATTAATTGAAAGTACGTCGAACTATAGCAGTTCACCAAAACGTAGAACGCAATAAATGAAAAATTGAACAAATAATTTTCCGAGAAGAAAATGTATCACCTATTATTGATAATTAATTTATAAATTTCCTCTTTCCAGAATGCTTAGCAGAAACATTTAACTTGTGCTGTAGTCTAGGAGAGAAATGGGCGGACACTGGAAAGGCATGTAAATCTTTCCCACCTCCTGCTAAAGGTGTCCCACTGGAGCAGCAGCCTGTTTGCTTGGCCACTGTTGAGATCTGCTGCTCCAGGCGGAGAAGAGCGGCCCAATGCGAAGCAGGACAAAAGGCAGCTAAACAGAATAAGGAATGTTATGTACCTGGTGTTGCTGATGACTTCTATAAGGTAGATTACTAATTTTGTGCTATTGAGTTTATAATGCTCCATCATGGTATTGGTTAGAGATTTGTACTTTTAATCAGAAATTGCAATTTTGATACCCGTCTCGGGCAGCATGTAGTGACATCGGTTTTTAGATGAAAATATAGATAGTAATATGTTTGGAAGTGAAAACTAGTGATGTATGGCATCGCGCCTTAAGGCAATTTGCTGAAACTTCCTTTACCAAAAAATATTTTTTGATTAGATAAAGATATTTTTTTTAACTTTGAAAAAATAGATTTTTGAGAAATTTTAAATTTTTGAAAAGAAAGACTTTTTTGGTAAAAAGACATTTAAAAAAATTTTTGTTTTTTATTTTATTTTAGAAATTTTGAACTTTTTTCAAAGCATCGCACTGATTTAGCTGCATAGAGACAAAATATCGAAGCGCGTAAGCGTCGCGTCGCCGTCTAACTGACAAACGATGTCACGGAACTCATAGAAATGTTAACAAAATTGATACATATTATTAAATATTTCATAAAATATCTGATAATTTGATATGCATATGTTTAATGATCACTTTTGACCGCCAAATGGCATTGTTTTTCACTTTTTTTACTAGATCTTCGAAACCGCTAGACCTGCCTTCTTAAATTTAATCTATTCTTTATCTAATCAATACAAGTAAAATGTTTTTTGAATTATTAAAATAGGACGCTTCGTTCTCTTAAAAACTGAGCTACCGTTTTTGAAATTTTTTGTCCCGTATCTTCGGAACAGCTAGACCTGCCTTTGCCAAAAACTAATCAGCACGTCTCCTTATTAATACGAATCGAATGTTTTTTTAGTTATTCAGATCGGTTGACCTGTGTTCCCGAAATCGTCGACGAAAATTTGTATCCGCGCACACACACATACATTCATTTTTCTAAGGTATGCCAAAATATTCAGAAACCTTTGAAACGTAAAGATATATAAAAAATTTCATTTTCGATTTTTTTGCGATTACTATAACTTGTCCTACAGGAAGTTAATAACCCGTACTTGGCATTTTTGCAAGTCATCAGTATTATAGTTATTATAATTATAAATTCACCAAATGTTGGATTGCTACCTTTAAAACCACGTCATTTTGAAATCATAACAACTATTAAGTTTTAAACTAAATGGTCTTACACCTTCTTATAATATTAATTGCTTAGGAATAATGTCAGATGTGTGCTTTCTTATCAAGTTTTTTTTATGGTTGACTACATTTTTGGCAAATGCCTGACCAGAACTATTTTGATCCTTTTTGTCCATGTACCCACTAAAACATAAATGTTTCTATCATCCCCATCCCTTCAAAGAGAAAATTATGAAGAAAATCTATTATATCATAACTTCCTGTAACCTTATACTCGATAATATGTAGATGTATGATTTATTATATGATTTATAGATTGGAGGAGTTGACATTACTGTATATGAAACGAATAATAATAAATAATAAATCAATTTTCTCACGTTGGTTTATAAGTTGTTAAACAATTTATTCATACCAGTAAAACATGAAATAAGTAGAATGGTAATTGTCGTTTTTCTGGCTTCTAACAATAGTGTCAAGGAATATTTTATATTCGTCTTTATAGAAGTCATTTTTATCCTAACTCATATAATACCCTTGATATTAATTTTGTATTGTGAGTGTTTTGCCCAATCTATTAACTTCATAAATGCATTAGTAATATCAAGTAAACATGTATACAAACAAGTAAACAAATTTATATACTGGGTGTCCCAGACCTTGACGTCAAGCCGAAATGGGGTGATAGTATTGACCTTAACAGTCCTGAAAAAAATTTAGAAATAAAAATTATCTTACGTTGTTTGAAAATTATGAGCTTTTAAGTGCAACTTAGAGCTTTGGTGAAATTATAATTTTGTTTATTTAAGCTTTGGAACCATAACTATGAATAACATTTCTAGGTCCACAGCAAAATAAAAATACCGCAATTGTTCCAAGTTAAACTTTATAAACAAAATTATAATTTCACCAAAGCTCTAAGTTGCAATTAAAAGCTCATAATTTTCAAGAATTAAAACTTTTTGTTGAATTATGGATTAAGTATTCTTAAAATCGGTCGACTTCTAGAGGCCCTCCTTTACAAAAATGTACTGAAGTATAATTGGCGTTTTATCAAAAGTTGGCGGAATCAGGATGAAATAGTAAAATAAAAATCTAAAAGTAACACTTGATATTAGCTAGACATATAGTTAAACAATCAAGAAAATATAATATTTGTCGTCATATTAAAATAGTTATTAATAATAAAACAGCGTGTAAATTATTCTTATTTAACAATGTTCCCGTGCTGACATTGACATGAAATATTCAACGCATAATGGCACTGGCAGTAAAACATCTTGGCATAGTAATATATCAAGTACTAGATTGAATCTCAGACTAATCTATAATGCTAATAATATGAAATGAAACTCTGGGTCGATTGATAATTATAATATATGTATTTGTATAACTGTAATCGACAGTGAAATTACTTCAAAACTTTCAATACTGGAGAAGCTTAACATACGCGATTAGGGGGTACGTAATCGGTGCACCTACGCCAATTTCATAAAAAAATTAACAATTGATTTAAATACTCTAATAAAACATAAAATTTTGGATTTTTTGTTGATAAAGTTTATGTGAATGTATTCATGAAAAAAATGATTTAAATTTTATTTTTTAAAAAGAACAAATTGTTTATTTTTAAAACAACTTTACTTAAAATTCTTATCGTTTATTAGAGTTTTTGTAATCGCAAAAAAATCGAAAATATATTTTTGCTTTGATTTATTGCTTTGAAAAAAAAATTAAGAATTTTTAAACAATTTTAAAAATCAAATTTTTCAAAAAAGTCTTTTTTTAATAAATTTTCAATAATCTATTTTTTTAATGTTTATTAAAAATGAAGATTTTTTGAAATTTTTAAATTATAATACGAGAAGTTCCAGCAATCGTGCCTTAAGTAAGGTAACCATACATCCCGGATTGGCCGAGACAGACCCGATTTTCCGTCTTGCGTCCCGGCTTTTTGTAAAAGCAATATTTGTCCCGGTTTTAGGTGTTTTGTCCCGGATTGTCCCGGATTTTTAAAAATGTTTTGATTGCCAATATATTTTTAAATATATTTTAACTAGAAAATTTGAACTGAAAAATTGTGCATATAAGTTTTTAGCTCACAAATAAACCTCCTCCCCCGCTCTCCCAACATTCTAATCCGTCCCTTAAGGCACTATGCCATACAGCACTAGTTTTTTTCGGTTTTATCAAAACTGGCAAAATTACCATTACCTATAAAACGAAGATTAGCCAAATTTAGACAGTGAATTAATCACTGACTTATTGAATAGCACCAAAATCATATAGTTTACAGATGTTCCATAATGTTAGTTATAAACTGAAGATACAGTGCTTTGCATTTTATTACTCTACAAATAATCGTAAAATTGCTTTTATAAAATATAGATATAATATTTATCAAGATCCAATAACATGTGCAAATTTTAGATATTTATCTCAAGTGGAGCTTTACAAGCAACCCATTTCTTTGGTGCTTTTGAGCCATCTGCTGGCTTGAAATAAATTTGCAGAATGTGATTCATTTTACAATCAAAATTTTATGAAATGCAACTTTATATTAACTACTTTTGCATACAGCATATCACTTTTCGAATGCATGATACGAAATATTTTGTTATACATTTTAGATTAACTTCTAGATGAATTAACCTAATGATTTCGGAAACATTGCATTATGAGATAAACTGTTACTTAACTTCCCGTAGGAGAAGTTTATGTTTTCATCAAAAAATCCCATTCGCCAATTTTATGGTTTCTCGACGTTTCAAGCCATTCTAAATCAAATGAGACCAAATTTAGAAAAAGTATGTGTGTATGTGAACAGATTTTTTGCCGTAAATCGACGTTTTCTCAAAAACGGCTGGATCGATTTAAAAAATTTGAAAGCCATTCGAGGTATCTCGATGAGGACTAGCGTTTATCAAATTTACGCGACGATCAGCCAAACCGTTTCTTTGTAAATCGCAGAAAAGTGAAAAATTTCGTCCACGTTTTAGCCCGCAATTCTGAATCGATTTTAAAAAATCAAAAACTGTTCGGAAGATATTAGTTGCGAATGATACTGATTAGTTTTAGGCAAAAATCTACCGAGCCGTTTTCTTGTAATTAACTGTTGATAAAAAAAATTTAAGCCGATTTTTATGGAACTTTGTTTGGCGATATATATCATGGTCTTATAGAACTTACTGAAATATTACGACCGTACAACAAGTAGTTTAATTTTAAAAATTTATCAAAGTTTGAGAAAATTAGTAGTTTTTTTTTTTTGACGTTTGTTAAAATTAAAATTAGACGATTTACTTGGTATAACGATAGAGTACTTGGTCTTAATGAACGTACTAAATCATTAAAGTCCTACGGAAACTGGTTCAATTGTAAAAATTATTGATTTTCGAAAACATGCTTTTAGAAAATACTCCGAGTTAACGTGTTCATTCGTTTTCAATTATGTGTAATAAATCAACTCGGAATACTTTTAATCGCTCATAAATTAATTTATTTTTTATTGATCAAGTCGATTATTATTTACACATATCGGGAAGTTCATGTAAGTTGCCTCAAGGCAAAATACCAATACCAACAAGTTATCTATTTATTTGTTAATGTGATACATAAAAATCACAAGTCTTACATATTGAATTATCAGCAGAATGAGTTTATTGGCTTTAGGACTACCGTACAAAAATTCAACCTGAAAAAATATTGCTTTTTGTGGCGACGGGGACATAAAAAAATATTTGAACTGAATTTTAGGATACAGATTTTATCGCATTTTAGACCTCACTAAAATGCGAAGTTTCAGTGTTTGTTAAAACGCAAACTTATCTAAATTTTAACTGCTACTAATTTGCAATTTAAAATGTTTTGTATATGCAAATATATAACATTGTATTTATATTCAAAGGTTTTGCTCATGCACACATTGATTTTCACTGGAACGTGCCTTTGCATATACAGAAATCATTATTATCATTCACTGCATCCTTTCACACATAAATCCGGAAAATTGATGATTAGCACCATTTCATGTCCGTATTTGATTTGCATTTTGTTATTATTTGCGTTTTAAAATGAATTATTTTATCGACCATGCTTAATTATTAATAAATATTGACAACAATGAATGTTTTATAAATGTACATTGCATGTGCAATTTGAGTGCACAAAGTTTGATTTGGATTTATCCTTGTACGCATTTTGATATTGTTTACTTTGTTTTTTCTGTTGTACATTTTGGAATTGTTTAAATTCATAACATAAATTCATACAGAATACGCTTAAATTGAAAAGAGAAAGATTTTAAAAGTAATAATTTTTAAGTATTTTGATTATAATATGGAATTTGCTTATTGCTTGCACAAATTGCTTATTAAACATTTCATAAAATAATTTAAACATAAAAAATTTGCTTTTTACTTACGAATATATCAGTTATACAAATAAATACAAATAAACAGTAAATTACATCACTAACTTATAAATTAATTTCAATTACCAGTTTTTATACAAATTTGCCTTGTGTTTAATTAATAGTTTTTTTACATCAAGACTTTCAACATGTTCGAATAAAACTTCATTACAATTCTAAATGTTTGTATTGAAAATTATCATAAAGTTCATCTCTATACGTTAATATTAAGTATATGGTAGGGCGGGGCACAAAGGTCCAATTTGACTTTGAGCAATTATATTATGAAAACCAAACTAATTATATCACAACAAATAATACATATCAAACAAACAACTATCTAATTATGTTCAGTAAAACTCCTAGCTAACATTATTGTAGAAATTTTTCTACTGTTTTTTTAAAAAATTGTCGGTGTAAAAAGGGACGGCCAGGGGGTTAACAGGTCCAATTTCTTATTTCGAATTCACGGAATAATGGCAACATTGTTCAATCAATGCAAAATATGGGTATATTTTTACAGAGATAATACTGTAAATAACCTTGATCTGGTATTTTGTCAGAAATATTAATCAACAGAGTTGTAATAACTATTTATTTAATTTATCTCTTGCTTTTTTAGATTAATTTACCTATTTATTCATCATATTTTACAGTTTACACCTTTGCCAGGATAAAGGTTCAGTTGGTCCTTTTTATCCCTTTTATAGATGTTGTATAAAAAACTGTTGAATCTAACTCAAAATTTACAACACATTTTATAAAACAAATAAATAAAGTATACTTAAAAATTATATCAAGGTTTTGTAAACTAAATAACAGTGCTTACAACCAAAAAAATTAACAACGAAACAAAATACTTTTGTTATGGATTTTCAAAAATTTCCGTTTATCTTCCGAAAGCGACGTCACAAAAATAAAAGTGATTGTTGGGTATACATATTTTGCCCTCCACTTTTAAATAATTATTTCAATAAATTATTGTTAAAAATTCTCAAATTTACTTGTTTTTGGACCTTTTTACCCGCGGACCTTTAAGCTTCGCCCTACCCTATATGATATAAATAAATAGGAATCTATTACAACTACATATAACAATAGAATTAAAGGCAATCATATGCTTTGCTTTGTTTTAACATTCTCATCCAATAATAATAAAACTAGTGGTGCATGGCATCGTACCTTAAGGCAAATTGCAGGAACTTCCCGTACCGAAAATTAAAATTTTTAAAAAAGCTTTAATATTCTTTGAAAACTTTGGAAAAAAAATAGATTTTTGAAAGTTTTGAAAAAAAAATAGCTTGAATTCATAGTAACAGTCTAACGGAGAAGCATTGGTATGGAATCCATAGAAATCTAAACAAAATTTGTACTTAGTATTAAAATCTCTATAAAATATCTGTTAATTTGTTGTGCATATGTCTAATGATCATTTTTGACCGCCAAATGACTTTTTTGGATTTTTTTTTCACTCGATCCTCGAAACCGCTAAACCTGCCCTCCCAAAAATTTGATCAGTTCTTCATTTTGTCAATACAAGTAAAATGTTTTTTGAATTATTGAAATCGGAAGCTCCGTTCTCTCAAAAACTGAATTATCATTTTACTCTTATTGTCAAAATGAATAACTGGTTAATGTTTTGGGAAGAGAGGTGTAGCGGTTTCTCAGATCGAGTAAAAAAGTAAAAAAAAATGCCATTTTCGAAATGATCATTAGACATGAGATTATCAGATATTTTATAGAGATTTTAATGATAAGTATATATATTTCTAAGGGTTTCATACTAATGTTTTTAAAGCTTTTTTTAAAAAAAATAATTTTAGGTACTGAAAGTTACAGCAATTTGCCTTAAGACACGATGCCATGTATCACGAGTTTGTATTTTTAACTTCACGTAGGGCAAGTTATAGTAATCGCAATAAAATCGAAAATGAAAATTTTTATATATCTTTACGTTTCAAAACCCACTGAACATTTTGGCATACATTAGAAAAAATGGATGTATGTGTGTGTGTGTGTAGGTGTGTGTATGTGTGTGTGGGTGTGTGTATGTGTGTGTGTGTGCGGATACAAATTTTCGCCGACGATTTCGGGAACACGGATGAAGCGATTTGAAAAACATTCGATTTGTATTGATAAGGAGACGTGCTGATTAGTTTTTGGCATAAGCATGTCCAGCCGTTTCGAAGATACGGGGTAAAAAGTACCAAAAATGGTAACGCAGTTTTTGAGAGAACGGAGCGTCCGATTTTAATCATTCAAAAAACATTTTACTTGTATTGACAAGATGCAGTATTGGTCACATTTTTATGAAGGCAGGTCTAGCGGTTTCGGAGGTCTAGGCGAAGCGGCTCTTACGCGCTTCAATATTTCGTCTCTATGCAGTTAAAGCAGTACGATTGCTTTGAACAAAAGTCCAGAATTTCCAAAATATTTCAAAATAAAACATTTTTTTCGAAAAGTCTTTTTTTTTCAAATAAAGTAAATTTTTGACAAAAATTTATAGTTTCTCAAAAATCTATTTTTTTCAAAAATGTTAATCTTTTAAAAAAAATATATTTTTTGTACGGGAAGTTCCAGCAATTTGCCTTAAGGCACGATGCCATGCGCCCCACTAGTTGTTAACTATTTTGCATATTAACATATTTGTTTTTATCGTTTCAGGATTGTTGCGAGGCTTGCAACATCGGGTTGGTAGTGGGTTCGATGGGAGCCGGCTGCAAGCAGGGCTTTTCGTTCGGTGCCGGGACCGACGCCTCGTTCTCGGTTTGCTGCGAGGAGATGGCGAGGAACTTGTCGACTAGCCAGACGTCGACGTACGCGCCGCAGAGCATCGTGGCCACCAGCAAGCCGATGCCCGAAGCCGCGAATGATCTGTCGCCCTTGGGTGAGCGGAAACTCGATTGCGATTCATTATCACGAATTTATTTACTCGTGTTCTTTTTAATAACGAACTTTTCTTTATTGTATAGACACGATAAAGAAATTTGTTTTTGTGCGTATTTGACATTCTTATTTGATTTTGACATTCATTTTAAATTGCGTGGGATATTTGGGGTAGATATGGATAATTTGAAAATAATCGCTTGTTATTGACATAAATAAGATGTGTCTGTTGAAGAACGGATATAGCAGAAGTTTGTAATGATTTATTTTAAAATTTATAATATCAAGAACAAATTATTTTTATAATAGTACAATTATTAATATTATAAAAATTGTTACTATTATACAGTACAGGTAACCTCCGTAGAAAACGATACATATTACTATTTTGCAGTTGGAGAATTGAAACTATCTCTTTTGGGGGCGTCCATTAATCACGTGATCGATTTTTTTAGATTTTTAACCCCCCTCTCTTGCCCTCGGTGATACGTCGTGATATTTAAAATTAACCCCCTTCCTTCCCCCACCAAACATCACGTATTTACGAAAAAAAGCGTAAAATTTTTGTTTTTTTTTAACATTTATGTAAAAAATAAATACACGTGATATCTCTCTAGACCCCTCCCTCCCCCACGTGATTTTTCGTAATTTTTTTGTCAAACTCCCCCTCCCCCTAAAAGCCTCACGTGATTAATGGACGCCCCCTTTATAACACGGTACTTTCATAGCAAAATTTTACTCTACCAGGTATTTCTATATCTCGGTTGTAGTATTGAGACTATCTCCCTTATAACACGGTACTTTTTTAGCAAGGTTTCACTCTATCAGGGTTTGTTAATTGAACAAAACACTAATAGAATATGAAATATAGTAAAAGCGAACTTTGTTTGATTTAAAATTAGCGATATCCGACATATAACAGCTCATTAAACGTGTTGAAATTAGTGCAAAAGATAGCTCATTTAACATTTTTTATTCCAGCGCGTACGTTCTATCGAAAAAGAGACCTAGATTTACCCAAGCTGGTTATTTTTTTTACATAGAGATCCTTCAAATAAAATACACGCCTAATTCAAAAGGGATCTTTGCAAGAGCATATGTCGTACAAAAATCTCTTCAATTAATTCAAGCAATAGAGAATAACAGAAATTTTGCATAAGGTAAAGCAAGTAAAAATCTGGAGATAATATAGAATAATGCTAAAGGACGAGGATATCTTGCCAAATAGAAAACTCTGACGTTGAATAGCACATATTTATGGCGAATAAAATATTTAGTTAATTCACTTGTTCATATGTATTACTTCTTTTAAAAAAAACAATAAATATATTTATTTTTATTGTATTTCATGATAGTGCAATTTTATATTACATGTGAAAAATCACGGACTTGCACAGTTCAGTATATTTGCCTGGGTCTGCGGGACATTACCTATTTTTCTACATTATTTTCAAACTGCGATACGCTTTACGTAAAATAATATTTTATGATTGTAATAAAAAGCAAAAATATTTAGTAATTATTATTAATTAATAATATTAATTACAAATTAATTATAATTAATTAATATGTATAAAGTTAGAAAAAAAATAAAGATAATGCAGTCATAATCTTTATTTTGTTGATTGTGAATATTTATGATATAAAATATTTTGGCGCAGATGTCACAAAAAACCGTTACATTTTTACATAAGATTAAATAAACCTCATTATTTATTAATTCGATTCTATTTACTTAGACAAGATATGAAGACCTTTGGAAAACCATAAATATTCGGTTTAATGACGAGTTGAGATTATATTTTGACTATAGTATAGTACCACTAAAAGATATATCTGTTTATGCGATTACGGAATTTGAAGATAAATTTGTTCCGAAAAGTTTAAACACGAGTGTAACATGTACCAACTAGCACTCATGTAAAAATACCGAAAATACCGGTATCGGGCAGTAAACCAGTATTTCGGTATACCGGTATACCGATATTGCATTCCTTAGTAGCTTATGACAATATTATGCAGAACGGTTTATATATCCAATTGAAATAAAAAAGTTAATTATCGTTTAAGATTCTGCTGAAAACCGCCTTCTATCTAATTTATTCCAGTCAATCACTTATATATAATTTGCATGAATTGTATTTGCAATCAATCAATCTTATAAAAATAATTCGTTTTATTTCTTACAGTTAAAAAAATATTAACATGATAGTTGAAATTTATATAAATTTTAAATACAAGCGGTTTTAAACAAGTGTTAACATTTTGTATGATAAAATTATTTTTCAGCAATAGTTAAACCAGTTCAATTAATTCTCAAAACAGTGTAAGGAGCCGGTATCGTTGAAGTTCATAAATCTCATCTTCCGTGCGCTTAAATAACCTCAAAGTCTGCTATATTTCTTCAATTTCAAAATGTTGATTACGCCATAAATATTAAGTGGCACCAAATTAAATTTTCTGTTCCGTTACCGATTCGTTGTCCTCGATGGTCAGATATATACGTGTAGAAAGGTACATGTTTTTCTTGAAATGCCAATCATTCGTCGTTGAATGACGCACGTTGGGACGACGAAATGAGCGACCGCCGAAGAAGCAAAATAAGGGAAATAACACCCCTTGGATTCGGCAAACAGTCCGCTGTGATCGATCGACGTAGTCGCTTCGAGGCGACCAAATAGGCTTTAGTCGCCTTTAGACAACGAAATAGTCTAGTCGGTCACATGTACATAGATGGTTGTTTTAATTAGTAGTCTACTAATTAGTATTTTACTATAATAATGAAATAGAAATTATATTGTAATAAATAGTACGTAGGGCAGTACTGTGTAGAGCAGATTTTTGCCGGTGAACTCTTTGTACAACACGTGCTTCGACAGATGTTGAATTTAATTTAAGAAAAAGAATGTGGAATAAAAAATTATATTTAAAAAGTAAAATAAGCTCTTAACTGGAATTGGTAAAGGTAGTTTACATATATATATATATATATATATATATATATATATATATATTGTATGATTCTGAATTTGATGTTGACATATGCATTAACAAAGTCTAGTAGTCGGGCATAACATTAATAAAAAACATGAATTTCTTTCAAAAATTTATTTTACATTGATACGTTTCGGCTATAATCCTAGCCTTTATTCAGTGGATACTAAAAATAAAATTAAAAACTAAAACAATTGAATAGAAGTGAAATTTTTTTTAAAAAAATTGTAAATACTTACAATTAGTTATTCTTAGTGTTACATTAGAAGATTTTAATAATCCATGGTATCAGGATCTGGTAATGCACTACACTATGTAATATAAACATTAATCTTGTAATTAAACAATATTTCACAAAATATTAATTTAAAAAAAAGCACAAATAGATAGTGTGTAATATATATGTTGTTCGTAGACTGGTTTAAGATATAATGGAGAATAGACTTTAAAAATATTTTTACCAAGATTCTACACATGTGTGGAACGAATTGCGAATCCTTTGCGCGATTGTTTTTATTGTTTTGTGAGAAATTTGAAATTGCTATGTAAATAAAAGAGGTTTGTGTCTCACAGCCTGTTAAGTTCATTCCGTTTATTAATTGTCTTATTGTTATAAATAGTTGAAAAAGATCTTTTTAAAATTTTTCGTTTAAATAAATTTTGTTCGACTTGTGTTTCAAAGTTCCAATAATGTGGTTCGCAAACATAATTTAATTCAAAAAAATCCCAGACAATTTAAAACTATGCTTGCGGACCACATTTATACTTTAGAACACAATATGGACTTATATATATATATATATATATATATATATATATATATATATATATAAAATAAAAAGAAAACTAAAAATATGTTTCTTAAAATAAGTTTAATAGAACCATACGTTTCGAGTTTCAATTTGACTCTTCCTTAGTGTCTGTCCACGCAGTCACCATCTACTCTTCCAGGCGTGATAGTCTAAATTATTATTTTTGTTCAGTTCTTATTCGAATTATATATATTGTTTTTTTACTTACATGGTTATATTCACTGATTATGTTTTTTTCTTAATAATAATCTTTGTCGAACTCAGAATGGAAAAAGAAGGTTTTGCAACAAATGCAAGTCTCTTCTTTTTACCGGTAGATCTTTTGGTCTGTTTTTAGCAATTATTTCTTGAAGTACAAGTTAAAAGCGAATCATCTTTGACAGGTTTTAGTTTTTTTTCTTGGCCCTTAGTAATGCATGCGGAAAAGTAATATGCCATTGTGTACATTGGATAACAATGTCATTTTGTTCGAAATTAAACCAAATTAATAACTAATGAAAATTTCACCAAACACCTGATTATTGCAATAAAATTGTTCGTTCACTAGTAGTGAGTTAATTGATTTTAATTGAAATAGTTACGAGTATCCATAAATGGGTACCCGAAAAAACATGAGAAAAACACCCTCAAAATATACTTTTTAAGGTGCGAAATACTTTTGAACTGGTTACCGCGACTAGACTGTGACAATGACGCTCAACATCTGGCAAGATTGTTATTGTGGCTTTATTTATGATATACAGACGCGGAAACGTTAAACAACTAGCCAATTTTTAAATAAGGCCATTGTGTCATTTTGTCATATATACAATTATATATGTCCATATTTCCTCTATATGTTGTAATACCATTAATTAAAAAAAATCTTCTTAATAATATTATTAAGTTATTTTATGTTTTTAAAATATATGTATAAAAAGTGAAAAATGTTTCAAAAAATGTTACATATTTACAAAGGTTTTTGTATTATTTATCCTGATTTATTCAACTGACAATAAAACTCATTAGAAATTTTCTAAATTTGAATATATTAGTAGTGAACCGTGAAAGCAAAAAATTAAATAAACATTGTTTTTTTTTTCAAAAATGATCTAAATGAAAAATAATATCTAATTCAGTTACAATTTTTCAGATTTGGGCAATTTGTGCGAAATGTTACCAGGAGAATTATGTGCGCATATTTGTACGCCTGTTCCGGGGTCCTTCGTGTGCGAATGCAGACCAGGATTTAGTTTGATGTCTGATGGAAAATCTTGCCAACAAAGAGAATTACCAGACAGGTAAACCAGCTACTTAATATTTTACTTAAATTTTTGTTATTTAATACTCTTGGTGATACAGAATATAAGTCGACATATAATAATAAAAAGATAATTGACTTTTATTTGCGTTCTCATCATATTGTATATTAACTGATGTTCATTAAATGCTGCTCCCGCATTGGTTTTCTGCGCGTATGATTTTTATCTATCTAGCATAGTAATTAAGCGAGATTGTAAATTGGTATGAGTTAATCATAAAACAGAAAAAGAAGATTTAAATTTATCTTCAATTTGAAATCGGTTTTAATCAAAATTGCTTGAGGGACCGCCTTAGGATGCTCACAAAGAAATTATCACTTGACTTATACTATTACACTACTATGTTAACTTACGATTAGTAATTGTCCAATGGAACTGTTCATTGACTATGTTATAAATCAATGCACCAGTGCTTCCAGCTTGCGGATGTGAAAATCGAATAATATTCTGGAAAATGATCCAAGAAAACTGAAGAAAATATAGAAACTATGAAAATACTGTCAGTGAAAATGTAATTTTATATTAAAATTGTATGTTGTACTTTGAGCGTACGAGCGTATTATGAAATTACTTTGGGCTTCCTAAATTTTATGCTGCCGTAGGATTCTAAAGCTTTAAATTTCATATTAGTACAATACTATACGGTTATTATCTGGAAAGCAAAAAAAAAATGTTTGTATATTAAATCAATATCTTAGGACAAGGAAACAAATTGTTCTGTAAATATTTGACAGTTTTGTGAAGCCATATGCAATTCTATGGCATATGAAAGAGCAGTAAATTGATAATCAATTGTTGAAATCATTATTTATATCAGTTTATTTTTTATATTGGTTACTCTAACAAATGCCCTGAAGAATGAGATTTATATTTTGCAAGGTTTTGATGCGAAATTGTAGTTTAATTATTTAAGTGAAATAAGACAATAATCTCAATCCATCATACTAGCCAAATTCCATGAATATAATATATATTATTAATTCTTCATATGGTAAGTTGCATTTTTTGCATATATTCAAAAAATGTTGTGAGTGTGTTTGTGCGTGTAGTTGTATTTTTGTGTGTTTGGATACAATTTTTCGTCAACGATTTCGAGAGTATTGTCTTATTTCACTCGGTTGATCGGACGGATCAACCGATTTGAATGATTGACAAAATGACCGATTCTTATTGACGGGAAGACGTGCTGATTAGGTTTTGGCAGAGGCAGCTCCAATGTTTTTAATTTTCCGTAGGGTAAGTTATAGTAATCATTCAAAATTCGAAAATGAGCATTTTTTCATATCTTAACGTTTCACAGGTTTCTGAACATTATGGCTTACGTTGTGTATTTGCGTATGCAATATGTATGTATGTATGGATAGAAATTTTCGTCGACGTTTTCAGGAGCACCACTCAACCCATTTGAATTATTTATTCAATTCGATTCCTATAGATAAGGAGACGTCCTGATTAGTTTTTGGCAAAAATTGCTCCAGCTGTTTCGGAGATACGGAGCATGAATGATTCAAAAAATATTCCGCTTGTATTTATGTAATTAGGAATTGATTAAGTTTTTGCAAAGGCAGGTCCAGCGGAGATACAGGAAAAAAGTTTTAAAAAATGACATTTAGCAGTCGAAAATCATATATTTTGTAATTTGAATCAACCGATATGAATTGGAATCAAAAACTTTAAATTTTGAAAAAATTATGAAATAAAATGTTAGTTTTCAAAAAATTTCCAAAATCTAATTTTTCCTTTCTGAGCTTTTAAAAATTTGCGATACGAGAAGCTCCAGCAATTTGCTAGGGAGGTTGATTCTTGGAGATGAAAATGACAAAGTGAATCGGACATCGTATTTCGCCCATACAGTTTATTAATAACTATAAACTCTATTTTATATCATCAATTACTTTCGCTGATTGTATTTTTAGATTTTGATCACTGTAATTCTGGCGACCAATAAAAGTTTATTTTTGCGCGACTGCATTCAATTATTACAATTTCTAAAAATATAACGAGTAGCCAGTCGGAAAATGTACAAAAGTAGTTACAATTGTGGATGACGTACGCATATTCAACGAAGTTCACGCATGCATTATTCAAGACCACGGCACATCACGATGTGCGATAATAATTGTATTTATTAGGCACCCTTGTATCCACTTGAATGTTGACATTTTTTATTTTTGTATCTTATTTAGTACTCCAACATTGTACATGCATCGCATCAATATCAAATTAGATTAGAAATTATTGAATATCATATGAATTCAAGTTAAAAAGAGTAGGATAGGGCGGAGCAAACCGAACCAATTATATCATAACAAATAACACATTTCAAACAAACAATTATCTGACTATGTTCAGCAAAACTCCCAGCTAAATCATTGTAGAAACGTGTTTTTTCTGTTTTTTCTCAAAATGTGTCACCTGCTCCTCTATACCCCATGGTCGGGGTAAAATGCGACAGTCAGGGGTCAAACAGGTCTAATGTATTATTTTTAATTTTAAAGGGATTTTACGAATTAATAGCTACATTATTCAACCAAAGCAAAATACAAATTCCATGGGTACATTTTGTAAAAAGATAACACTGTAACATTGGTCTGGTATTTAATCAATGATATTCATCAGCAGCCTTGGAATAACTATTTAATTAATTTATCTCTAGTAAATTTGCTTTTTTTAACTTAATTTTCTATTTTATTGTTTATCCTTTGCCAGGGTAAAGGTTAAGTTGGTGCTTTTTACCCCGCGCACGTGCAAGTACTTACAGAGGTTATATAAAAAAACAGTTGAATCTTTTTTAAAAATAACAATACATCTTATAAAATAGTTAAATAACGTATACATAAAAATTATATTAAGGTCTCGTAAACTAAACAACAGTGCTCACAACCAACAAAACCAACAACAACAAAAAATACTCTTGTAATAATTTTCAAACATTGCCGTTCATCTTCTTCAATCATTCACAAAGCAGCGTTGTAGGAATCAAGGTGATGGCTGGTTATACATCTTTTACTTCTACTTTCAAATATTGTCGTTATAAATTTTTTAACTTCACCTGTTTTGAGATATCGGTGGAAGACCTTTTTATTCACGGACCTTTAAGCCCCCGCTCTATTCTATGTTATTTTTAGCAGGGTGAAGACTCTTGCTGGTGGATCCATTAACAAATGAGTTTCTAAAATTTTACCTTATGATATTACATGAAATTCCCTAGGTTGAGTGTCTAAAGCCATGGTTTTCATTTGAAAGTTTCTGATTCGATACCCAACTCGGACAGCCTGATGTCAAGCAGTAGTGACATCGGTTTTTATTTGCTTTTATAGATAGCAATATATTTCCAAGTCTTTGTCCGGCATTGCTGCACCCAATAAAAAGTCATCATTTTTAGAATTTTTAATAATAATAAAATATGCAAATAGATATAGAGCAACCGCTGGGTTGCCATCTATAAAGTCCCCATTACAATAGCACATAAAACTCGTTAAATTCTAATGACTTTAAACAACAAAACAAATAAAAAAAAGTTATGGTGAGTCATAGTAGTTTGTTGCAGAAAAAAAGCTTTATCATCAGCTAAGTTACTTAGATTTTTTTTTTCCTTTATTTATCCATTTGTTAATAATTAATTAATTAATTATTCAAACTATAATGAAAACTAAGTATTGTATAAGCCGATCTCTTACCTTTTCTTACAGTTTTTGATGCAATTTTTAATTATTAATTATTGTTATATTATAGTCCAGAGTTTTTGTGAATATTTGCAATTCATAAACATCTCAAGGTCGATGAAAATTAAATCTGTAAAAAAAAAATTTTTAGCGCTCAATTTTAATCATCATATAAATTTATTTAGACGTATTTAGAGTAACAAACTTTCTGTTATAGTTAGTAACTTAAATCATCATAAAACATAATCGAGGAGATGAATGATTTTGTTATTATTTTTATGCAGATATATGATTCAGGTAGTAATAATTATAAAAAAAAACTACCTCTAAGTGTGTAAATTATGTAGTTAATTATTTAATTCCGGGTAATGGATTTACACCCAAATTTTTTGGCGATTTCTTAAGCTTTACTGCATCTCTCCGAACGTTTTCATCTCAATTGTGTGGATTATGTTAAAATATAAATTTTGTTTTTGCTTATTATTTAAATAAATAAATTTATAGACAAATGTTTTTATATGCAGTCGTATGCTATGCTATCAAAATTTTATTACAAAATATACATAATCACAAAATATGCATTTGTAATTTTTTAAATAAATGCTTTTGAGAAAACAGAATATAGAAAATATTCAAAAAGTAATTTCTTTCGATAAATAATGTTTAGCTATATTACTTTGGCATTGAGATAGAAAAATGTGTAAAATCTTCATGAAAATTTATTGATTTTGTCAATATTATTAACGAGATAAAATCAATATTAGTAAGAGATAAAAAAATCAATGAAATATTTATGAATCGTTATTAGTCTTGTATTAGGAAAATAATCCTGTAGTTGAAAATAAAATTGATAGCCGTTGATATATTTTAAATTGTAGTTGCTGTAATAAATAAATGGTTAATGGCAATTTTCGGAGCTTTTTTAAAAATAAAAATAACAGTATAGAAAAAACATATTACTATCTCTAATTTAAAGCATCAGCCGTATCAATATATGGTTAAGAAAAATTAAAAAAGCCGTATCATATACATTAGTGAGCAAAAATTAAAAAATTAAATCTTCTGAATTTTTGTTTTATTCACAAATAACAAAAGTCAATTTAATCATGAAAACTTTGTCTAACTCAATTTAATTTTAGTCAGAAGTGGAAATGATTTTGATAAGAATCTCATGGAATCTTGATCTATAGATCTTGAAAGAATTTTTCCAGAATCTTAAAAGAATCTAGTCAGGATCTGGTTGGAGTCTAGTCAGTCTCAGGTTAAAACCTTATTAGAAAATTGTCAGCATCTATTTGGTATTTACTTGGAAGTTGAAAAATTCAGCCATCATTATCAATAAATGATTTCTAGATTTGAATTGTTTCTAGGAATTGTGGAATAGTGACATAAATATTGATTATATATAAATATTTCTGTTAATTGTATGATATTCAATTCATTTTGTGAGAAATTTTTGCTCTTGGTGAGGACTCCCAAAAATTTTTGATATTGTGTCCTGCCAATACACGCTACGCCCCTGATGTAAACACATTTGGATCTTTTCACCCCTAAGTGAACAACCACCCACCAACTATCAGAATATGGATTTTTTTTATATATTTTTAACAGCAATCGGAACCTTTCGTCCTATGAGCTGTTGGGCTGAAACTTCTCCTTACTTCGTATTTTTTAGATGGTAATCAAATGGTTACCATCCATTCATATTTGATGATTTTTGTTATTAGAATTAATCTAATAGGGCTGACTTTTTATTGGTGTAGCAATGCCGGGCAAGGGCTATTTTCACTTGGAAACATATTGCTATCTATATTTCCAAGTGAAAATCGTTGTCACTGCTGCCTGACAACAGGCTGCTCGAAGTGGGTATCGAGCCCGGAACCTCTGATTCAGGTCCCGTGGATCTTAACCGCTTACCTACGGGCGAACCCATATGGATTTATGAAAATATAATTATTATGAAAAAATTGGGTGCTAAAACTGCAGTTGGGACAAGAGAAAATTGCTCCCCGATCAACCGAATGAATATTGTTTTTGAATAAAAATTGAGTCAATAAGCCTGATTAGCTCTATATATGAAAAACATCGAGTTGACCAGTGCGGTTCGTACATAGTAACAGGCGTGCATGCAGAATAAAAACAACGTGTAACGTGCCTGTCGATGTGCACTCGATTGGCCAAAAGGTCGCTGTCTAAAAATAATTTATATATGTGCAGAAAAACAAACAATAAAAACTCCGAGCGGGGATAGTGACTGCTTAATGCACGGCATTATTGACCATATTGACTCCCATACTTCGGCCTGCAGAAATGATAAGATATTAACAGAGACCGTCGATGAGTTAAAACTCATTTTTTATACAAGCCGTTCTTTTTTAATTATTTAAAGAAACTTGGAGATCCGCATTTATTTTATAGGTGTTTAAATAAAATTTTATTTCTGCTTTATAGGAGAAAGATTAAGTTACGTTGTTTGGACATTATGAGCTTTTAAGTGCAATCTAAAGCTTTGGTGAAACTATGACCATATTTCGATTATTGTCATTGATTTTTATTAACTTTGTTCATTTAAACTTTGGAACCATAACCGTGAACAACATTTCTAGGACCACAATCAAAAACGTTAACACAATTGCCTCAAGGTTCCAAGAATTAAAACTTTTTGTTGAACTATAAATTTAAAAATTTTAAATTCGATCCCTTCGTTTAAATTTAAATTTAAATTTAAACTGATAAATGTTCTAAAGTGTGTTGGCAAGTTTCATCAAAAGTTGGCACATTTAATCAGGATTGTAAAATACTTGAAAATTTTATTATTGAAAAATTTCAAGTAAAAAAATAAAAACCGAAATTGACATGATTTTTGCTAGTACATTTTACTCGCGATTAGTTCAAATGCCTCGCTCTTGTAGATTCAACATTTATTCAACAAAATTTATTCAACGTTTGAGGATATAATTTTCTTCAAGAACAGGGTGATAACAAATGAAATCAAAATATTAAAGATTTATATTAGTTTAATTATTTTTAAATTAAAATAACTCACTTTTAGCTTAATAATTAAAAAAAAATCAAAATTGAGGAAAAAGTGTGTTCTTTCAATATGCGATAATCTGAATATAATATTTATTAGCCTTACAATTACTACAAATTTATCAGGTAAAAAACATTTTGTGATTTTCTGAAGTTTTCAGTACAAACTAGATATATAAAATTTAAAATTTAAATCTAATAATATGGTATGTTAATAATTTAAATCGTAACCCGTTGATAGAATTATTGATCGTCATTGATCTTAACAAAATCAACAAAGTTATAAAAAATATTTTAAATTTATATTTTTATTTATAATAACATATCTTTTGGAATATTTTAAAACAGTTAGATTTTTAAGAAATCTGTTGCAACTGTAAGAAGCTAAATTAAAATGTTTATAAAAAAATATAAAATCTTTCATATTTTATAAAATCAATAAAATGCCAGAAAAAAATGTTATAGAAATTGTGAAAAATATTTTTGTAGATTGAAAATGTATATACAATATTACCTCGCATAACGATGCTTTCTTTAGCGCTGTCACGGTTTAACGCTTTTATTTCTGCTCCAAAATATGGGTGAAATTGTGATAAAAATAATAAAATTAGCTAAAAAACGGTTTTTATGAGATAAACGTGAAAGATGTCATATAAATAGTTCATGAATCAGCAGATAGTCTTTTTAATAATGATCTTAAGTATTTAACTGATTTAAGCAAAAAGACAACAACAACAATAACAATGATTTTGAATAATAAAAATAGTATAAATTGAGACAAGAATTCAAAATTCACACGAGATGTTATATTATTTTTTATTCACTTATCAACAACTTTTTTGGCAAAAAGGCAAAAAATTGGAAACATAAAAAAAACAGAATTAGAATTTTAATTGTTTTTATAAATTTATATTATTTTTATTTTGGTTGAATTGTATTATTTTCATTAGTATTATTTCCATAAAATTGCAAACAAGATACAATGATATTTTATAAGCTAATTTTATATGAACAGGGAAAAAATATGTTTGAATAGTTTTTTTTCCTTTTTTTTGTTATATACATATAATTACAATCTGCCTGGTAAGGCATTCAGTAATTTTCGTGATAAATGCGTAGATATAAGATTTTTAAATACTACCCGGTCCTCACTTTAAGTTTGAAAATAGAATAGAAAAACAAAATAGAATTCACCCCATAAAGAGGAAGTGTAGTGTTTTTTGTATGAAATAAATGTTTAATTTTATTTATGTTAGAAATAAATACAGTGTTACTAACTTTGATGTAATGCCAATATTCAATCTATCTTTCCTTAACCCTCGCAATAATATATTAAGACCAGTGGGGCGCATGGCATCGTGCATTAAAGCAAATTGCTGGAACTTCCCGTACCAAAAAAATTTTTTTTAAAAGATTAACATTTTTGAAAAAAAATTACTCTGAAAAAATTAGCTTTTTGAGAAACTATAAATTTTTGACAAAAATTTACTTTTTTTGAAAAAAAAAACTTTTTGAAGAAAAATTTATTTTGAAATATTTTGGAAATTCTGAACTTTTTTTCAAAGCAATCATACTACTTTAACTGCATAGAGATAAAATATCGAAGCGCGTAAGCGCCTCGCCGCCGTCTAACGGATGAACATTGGTACGGAACCCATAGGAATGTAAACAAAATTTATAATTATTGTTAAAATCTCTCTAAAATATCTGATAATTTGATGTGCATATGTCTATGATCATTTTTGACCGCCAGATGGCATTTTTTTTAACTTTTTTTTACTAGATCTCCGAAACCGCTAGACCTGCCTTCATGAAAATTTGATCAGTTTTTCATCTTGTTAATACAACTAAAATGTTTTTTGAATTATTCAAATCGGACGTTTTTGGCACTTTTTGCCCCATATTTTCGGAACAACTAGATCTGCCTTCGCCAAAAACTAATCAGCACGTCTCCTTATCAATACGAATCGAATGTTTTTTGAATTATTCAAATCGCTTCATCCGTGTTCCCGGAATCGTCGACGAAAGTTTGTATCCGAACACACATACACACCCACATACACACGCAAACACACACACATACACATACACATACACACACACACATATATCCATTTTTCCTAAGGTATGCCAAAATACTCTGAAACGTAAAGATCTATAAAAATTTTCATTTTCGATTTTTTGCGATTACTATAACTTACCCTACGGGAAGTTAATAAGCGCTGTTTCGCTTTGCGCTTTACTTTGATGGAACCTAACTCTCCCGCGTTAAGCGAGGTATTACTGTATTTGATTATAGATTCAGCATAATACATAAAACAAAAAGTAACCACTTATTCATGACTCGCGTACATAAGCACATGACCTATAATTATGAAAAATTAAAATAGCCGTCATGGGCCCTTATTATCGTGTTTTTATTGCATGGCCTGTCGATATATCGTAAGAGGGTATAATCGCAGATATCATGTGACTTTAATTGAACGATGTTTATTGATTATTTATCCGTTACTCTTTGACCATGACAGGTGCGTGGAAAGCAACCCGTGCAGCCAGAAGTGCCTGGACACGGGCTACGCCATCGAATGCTCCTGCGAACGCGGCTACGAACTGATGCAAGACAAGGTCACTTGCGCAGGTAACTATTTTTTTAATGCGGGGGCTCATATTGTCTTGTTCACTCAAAACAATATGAAAGTTCCATGCATATTTTAACGAAACAGTTTTATTGGAGTTCTAATATAAATTACTATTTAGGAAAATTGTACGTTTTGAAACTCTGGTTTATGACTGGAGTTCACTGTGCTTTATATCTTATACTTAGTTGAATTGTTAATATATTCAAGTTAAAACTGAATTGACTTAGCTTTTGATATTTTTTTTAGAAAATGAAGTTTAAAATACAAATTTCATAACAATAATAATGCCCTCTTAGTATGTGCTGATAGCGCTTACCAAAACAAATGAATGCTAAGCTAATGAATGAATAGAATGATTAATCAAAATATTTAGATTTAGTACGGGTGACTGGCTATGGTAGTACCATTTTTTTGATCAGCAATAATTTTGTTAATTTACCAGTTAGCTAGGAGAATAGTAAATTAAAAGGTAGTTTGAACAGTTGTCTACGAACGTTGTATACTGAAGTACTGCCCTTACATACGATGGATTTAGTCATAAAAGCAAATCATACAAGAAAAGATCGAGTGCCACAAACGTTCACATCCGAAAACGAACAAAAAAGCCTACTTTCGACTCTTTAGAAGCAAATTAGTTTACAGATCATGTTAATGTAGGGCGCTGACTCAATGCAATAATAGATACTTGTTTGAACAAATATGCTTTATCTTTCTTTCTTTGGATCCAATCACAAAATCAGTATAGTTTAGCTGTTATGACGACTGGCACAACCGTACCCAGTCTCCCCTACTTTTAACTTTGTATGAATTATTTTTTACTACTTGATAAAACTTTCGGCCAGAAACAAAAACTGATTTTTTAATAATTTTATTTTACTTATCACAATTAAAAATTCAATTAGTTTTCTTTAGACTAAATAAATCATTAGCAGTTTTATCAAATAAATTGTTATCAGTGTTATCAGTGGCAGTCAATCTTATAAGAATTGTTTCATTAAGTATATTATTTCCATTTAGACGTGATTTTCAAAGCATCAATCAGCATTTGGTAAACAAACTTGCACTTAAATTACAAACTTGTACATTAAATTTAGGAAATTATTTATTTAGGAAAAAATAAGAACACTTACTAAGAATAATTTGTGACACCATTTTTAAAAAGAAAAATACTATAAAATAATATAAAGAAATAGTTATTTTGGAATTTGTAAACTTTATTTGAAAAGAATTCAAGGAAATATGCCAACACAATTAGAATATTTAGAATATTTAGAACAATTAGAATATTATATTTTAACTTCCCTTATGGTAACTTATAATAATCGCAATAAAATCGAAGATGAAATGTTTTGCCTAACTTTGCGTTTCAAAGGTTTTTGATCATTTTAGGATATCTTAGAAAAAATTGGTGTATGTGTGCATGTTTGGATTCAAAATTTGTCTACTATTTCGAGAGCACGGATCAAGCAAGTCCCGATAAAATTTTGGCAAAGGCAAAGGTCCAGCTTTTTCAGAAATCCGATTAGAATAATTTAAAAAACATTTCACTTGTATCGATGAAATGAAGAATTGATTATATTTTTGGCAAGACAGGTTCAGCGGTTTCGAAAATCTAGAAAAAAAATTTGAATGTCATTTGGCGCGCAAAAATGATCATTTAACATATGCATATCAAATTATCAGATATTTTATAGAGATTTTAATAATAAGTACATATTTTATATCCATTTCTTTGGGTTTCCTACCAAGATTTAAAATTTACTTCTCTAGTTCCAACCGTTCACTTCTACAGTTCCACAGTATGGATCAACCGAGTTAATAGGTTTCAAAATTTTCAAGAAATTTTAGAATTTGCAAAAAAGTTAAAATATCAATACTATTAATAATATAATAATAATAATAAATATGTTTAGAAAAATTCAAAACATTTCAAATTTTCAAAAAAATCTAATTTTGTCAAAGTTTTCAAATAATTTTAAATTTTAAAATTAATAAATAAGTAAATTAATAAATGGTAATTTAAAATATAAGCTTAAGCTTTATGTTTTAAAGCTTTTAAAATTTTTAAATTACCGTACGGGAAGTACGGAAGTAAGGACTGTTGATAAAACCTTGATCTTTTTGAGATTTTGAATATGCATCGCCGAGTTCGAAAATTAACTAAATCAAAAATTTGTGCCTAAAACTATATACATTTTACGCATTTATCTAGCTAGGTTCAAAATGGTGAAACATACCTAAAGTTGCCACAAATTTTCGTTACATTTCTTAGCCATCTGGTCTGCCACATTTTCACTACACAATGTACTAATACAAAATCTAATAGTTTTCGGTACACTTTTGCTGCTTTTTCCTATTTCTATTGGGTAAGATTTGAAACTTCGGACAGCATTTTTTCGGTTTTCTTTTATACACCGTGATAGTGATGATATTTGATTTATATAAATTGATTCAAAATCTGTGAATGAATTCATCAGTTTTAGAACAATAAACTATTCAATTGAAGAATTGAATAATCTCTCCTCTAGTCGTTTTCCAAATAGGAAAACCTATTTATTATATATTCACTATTGACTTTACACACCATCCAAAACTGTATTCTAAATTTGTCTGGTTCGTTTGGTATATTTTGTATAAATCTGCACCTACATTTCGATGGAAACAACTCACCATATAACATTATTTTCCAGCGGTCAAATGGACCGACTGCGGTAGTTAGGCCACATAACAATTTTTAACTTCCCGTAGGGCAAGTCATAGTAATCGCAAAAAAATCGAAATTGAAAATTTTTATATATCTTTACGTTTCAAAGGTTTCTAAATATTTTGGCATATCTTAGAAAAAATGGATGTATGTGTCTGTGTGTGCGTATACAAATTTGCGTCGACGATTTCGAAAACATGGATCAACCGATTTGAACAATTCAAAAAAACATTCGATTCATATTTAAAAGGAGACGTGTTGATTAGTTTTTGGCAAAGGCAGGTCTAGTCGTTGGTGAAAATGTCGAGAACATTTGTTTGAACCATATAAATGAACATCAAAATTACTAACATTCGAAAACATTCAATTCGTATTGATAAGGAGACGTACTGATTAGTTTTTGGCGGAGGCAGGTCTAGCCGTTTCGAAGATGGGCCGGCCGTGGTCCCGTGGTAAGAACGTGGGCTAGCAAATCCTAGTCCCGGATTCGAATCCAACTGCGGTTCGGTATCAAACCACGATACCAAATTTTACTTGAAATCATAGATTTCAAATATGATCTCAAGTGAAAATGGCCTTTCGTGGGCATTGCTGCAGCACGTATATGCAGAGGGGGCAATAGTTGTAGTACCAACATGCCTCTTACAAGTAAGAGGTACTCGGATTGTATCCCTGTACTCAAAAAGGAATAACAAGTTTTAAAAAAAAGATACGTGGCAAAAACGGTAACTCAGTTTTCGGCCGTCAGAAAACAGTTTACTTGTATTGACAAGATGAAGAACTGATTAAATTTTGGGAAGGCAGGTCCAGCGGTTATGTACTCTCAATAAAAATAAGTTAAAAAATGTTATTTGGCAGTCAAAAATGTTTATTGGACTCATGTACATCAAGTTATAAGATATTTTATAGAGATTTTCATAATGTGTACACATTTTGTGTAATTTTTTTTGGATTCCGTCCAAGATTTTTAATTACGGTACGGGACGTTCCAGCAATTTGCCTTAAGGCACGATGCCATGCACCCTAAGTGCACTAGATTTTGGAAAATTGAAAAAATAATTAAAATCAAAGAGTGAAGAAAATATTATTAATATGTTCTAAGAAATGTCATATAGTTTGATAATGGTACTTTAACGTTTGAAAACATCTAAGTTATACACAAAGTTTGAAACGGTCATTTCGACCGGCATTGGTATGTTTAGTATTAAGTCACGATGCCATGCACCACTAGTTATCCATTTCAGTTATTACATATTAAAAACGTTTACTAGCCGTCACACTATTTTGCATGTATGACAAAGGCAACACGTAACCGTAATACAACAGCAAGTCCGATTGCAGCACACCGGACAGTCCGCGGCAGTCGCGCCGTCGCCGTACGACTCGTTGTGTCGTCCTTCACAAATTTATTTTGTTTTGATTTGTTGATATTTTTCGATGGAAGTCGCTTTTCTTTATTTAACAATGAATTGTTTAAAGGATTACTATCGACATGTGCAGCTGTAACAATAAGAAGGAAACAAAGAAACTGAAACGCAGGGTTACGTGGGGTACGTTAGATTATAAACGCATCTTGTGAAATTTATTTTAGATATTTTTCACCCAATATACATATATATATATATATATATATATACGTATGCATATTAGGGTGGTTCTTAATATGGATATTTTCAAATTCCTTTTCCCCCAGGGGCTCAAATGCTTCCAAATTGATAAAAAAAAACTCTGAAAGTTTCAGCACTCAAAATTAACTTTAAGATAGTCCGCACTTCAACTAAAGTTTCTTGGTTCTTCTCCCTAAGTAAATACTTATTTCATAAAATATATCAATTTTTTTTGTAATTCATTATTTATTATCAAAATAAGCAAATACAATGTTATACTCAAAATTCACTTGTCGCTAAGTTATAAATTTCAACAAAACAAATGGAGTTACCCATGTTATTTCCATAAGAAACTTTGGTTGGAGTGCGGACTGTCTTAAAGTTAATATTAAGAGCTAAAACTTTCAGAGATTTTTTTTGTATCATTTTGGAAGCATTTGAACTCCTGGGAGCAAATAAATTCAAAATATAGGACCACTCTAATGCATATATAACGCATATTTTATAGAAAGCTTGTCCCATTTTCTTGGGCGTTTGTTGAATTAATTATTATTATATTTCTTCATTAATACAATAACCATAAGAAATAACTACATTTTATAAGTTTTTTGATTAATACATAAATATTGTCATCAGTTTTCAAACGCCATGATATATAGCATTTTCTTCGCCAGGTATTTAAATTATA